GAAAAACGTCAATATGTGACGACTCGGGAGTGAGAATGTGTTGCTCCAACAGGTGTGCACAGACAAAATATTCCCCGGGGGTTTGTGCACACTTATTGGTTCTGGGACTGCACCATAACAGTAATGGTTAAAGTGGGGATGATTTGGCAAAACAGTACTTTTTATGTTAAGTCTAAAGTAATTATTGGATTCAAATTAACCAAATTCAGTTTATTTGTTTGTAAATAGATGTATTGATATTTGATCCATATTTAATGCATGCWTTTAAGTTGTATTTTTCATGTTTTTGCAGGTTGTTTTATTTTCTTTTCCCCTCGAAATGGTTTCTCCCAATTTAGAGCCGCCTGTGTATAAACCAATGTTATGAAATGAAATGTTACTCTTTTGTGGGCTGGTGCCACCATTAAAAAACAACTTCCACTGAGTTCAGTCTAAGTTTTCATCATTGTTCCCGTGTGGGTCCCACCTCCRTGACCGCTCGATCACCATGACAAACATGTAACAGGGATTTACACCTATATAGTGGCACATAATTGGTTATTAGCAAATTAATTAAAATTTGTCTGCAACAGAAGATTTGTCCAGCCATTCTTACTTGTTAAAGCCAGAGTCTGACCCAGAGTCAGAGGAAAATGAAGATGACCAAATTGTTTTTATTTGGCAGTTCAGTCACAAACACTGGTCAGAAAATGTCATAGAAAATAGAGTAAAACTAAACAGGTTGAAAAATAAGACCCAAACAGAATATAAACATATCTACGCAGCACTGACAGAGACTAAACTCCATTTTTCTGCACTCCTAGAGACACCAAGTACACAATAAAATGTATTTAATGGCTAAAAATACTAATAACTCCTAATAACATCATGGCCAGGACAAGTCGCAGCTCATCTGGCAGACGTTGCACACACAGTGCATGCACAGTAACATACCCTGAAGTGTTTTCATGTAAACAAATTAATCAAATAAAAATAGAAAGCCTAACCTCAGCAGCATTTATAAGTCTATCAGGGACAATAATAGTCAATCATATCATTTGCCACCAGATGTACCAGCCTCTAAGTCATGCAGCGTGCTATCATTCAGCCGTTGAAACAGCTGAGTTCAAGTTAAACATTAATGTGAATTTCTTCATTTACATTTTAACACCAACATTAATCATAAATTCTCAGTAATAAAGCCAGAATATATTTGCATGCCTGTTAAAACCATATATGTAGCTTTATAAATACAAAAGATAAATGCATTATATCTCACCGGTTGAGTCTACATACACACAGKGCTAACCATTCAACCTGATTATATGTCATGCCATTATTATTCCAGTCCTGAGTGGTTTAAGGTTTCTGACAAATGACTCAGAGCTGAATTAAAACAGAACCGACTAAGATTAAAAGGGGCGATATTATGTGTTTCTCAGGCATACATTTAAATACTGTACGATAATAAAGTATCTAAGTCACCTTTAGTTGTTATTGAAAGACTGTTTTATGTTTAAATAGAAAATAAACTTATCTTCTCATCACTTCCTCTTCTAAACGCATTGAAATTGGCCTCTGTTTCTTTAAGAACCACCTTCCGCTTCTGTCTCGCCGGTGCCATGATGCAGTTAACTTGGCATCTGAAAATACATTTTCCTCAAAGGTATTTTTAATCTGAAAAGAGCTTCACTGAGTGAGAACTAATGTCGAGAGCTCAGCAGACAGTTAGGTTTCACTTTGTTTCACCCGAGAGCCTGCGGGACTCATGGGCGTGATGTGTGGGGAGGTGTGCTCCGCCAAGAGGAAGTTCGGCTTAAAGACACRTCCCAGGGGCGTTTCTGGTACCAAAAGTCGTTTCTGGTCCCCACCTGTTGTTTTGCTCCTCAGCATGGCTGCCTAAAAATGCTGCAGGATTTCTCAAACATGKATGAATGAGTCAAAGCAAAGCTTTGGACATGTTTTTTTATGAGAGTATAACATTATAACATGATATAAAACTCAAAAAAGTTGATTTTACATGATATTGCCAAGTCTGCATAGTGCATGCATTCAAATGATCTTACATTTGAAATTAGAAATAGAAAAGAGAGCAAAGAAATGATAAGTCTAAAGATAAAACAAATTATCACTATATACAGTATATATTAGGGGTGCAACGATACAGGAAATTCACGGTTCGGTTCAATACTTTAGTCTCACGGTTCGATATTTTTTTATACAAAAAAGAGAAATTTCCATGCCCCTTTTAACTTGTAATTTATTTATATTAATTATGAACATTTGTCTAACCTCAAATGTACAGTTTTTAATTAAATGTTGCTGAAACATTAAGTTTCTCAGTGGATCTGAGCTCAAAAATGCAGCCTAGGTGGAGTAGTCGAACACAGATCTACTGATCCTTCAACACAGAGCATCTTCAGAAGACAAGTTGATAAAGTAAATTTTAAAAATCTGTATTGTTCGACAGCACTGTTTGATACGGTTCGGTACGGTTCGATACAGGTACAAGTATTGTTGCACCCCTAATATATATATATATATATATATATATATTGTATATCAAACTGAGGATTAAGTCAAATTTGGTGATAATTAGCTAGGTGAAATTTCAGATTCCTGCTTTTTAAGCTACACTTAGTGGTTTCAAAGATATGCCTTAATATGTCTTCCTAATTACAAAAAAATTATTGATTGGCCTAAGTCTTACAGTATGTTTAGGTCATTCTAATATAAACTTTTAATGTCATTATAAAAAGGAAACTTAAAACAATATTTGGAAATTACGATTTTCCAGCTGGAAAGAAGAAAAGCTTTGCCAGCTCTCAGGAAATTTTTCAAAAAATTTAAGGATTTTCTGCTCAAAATCATGTTTTTTATTGGGATTCAAACTAATTATTCAAGATAATATTTCAGATACTTCATTTA